TGTGAGTAATGCTGCTATGAACATGGCTGTACAAATACCTCTTCCAAAACCTTGCTTTCAGGGAACACTTCGGGAAATAGGACTGGGCAAAGACTTTATAAATAAGACCCCAAAAGCACAGGCAACAAAAGAAAAAATAAACAAGTGGGATTCTATACAACTAAAAACCTTCTGCACAGCAAAGTAAACAATCAACAGAGCAAAAAGACAACCTATAGAATGGGAGCAAATACTTGCAAACTATCCATCTGAGAAGGGATTAGTATCCAGAATATACAAAGAACTCAAACAACTCAACAGTAAGGAAAAAAGTAAGCCAATTTAAAAATGGGCAAAGGGGCTGAATAGACATTTCTCATATAAAGATATACAAATGGAAAACAGACACACGAAAAATGCTCAACATCACGAAGCATTGGGGAAATGCAAATCAAAACCACACAGAGATGTCACCTCAGTCCAGTTAGACTGGTTATTATCAAAAAGACCAAGAATAACAAATGCTGGCGAGGAATTGGAGAAAGGAGAACCCTCCTACACTGTTGGTGGGACTGTAAATTGGCGTAGCCATTATAAAAAGTGATATGGAGTTTGTTCAAACAACTACAGATAGAACAGCCATATGATCCAGCAATCCCACTTCCGGGTATGTACCCAAAGGAGTGGAAATCATCATGTGGAAGGGATACCTGCACTCCCATGTTTACAACAGCTCTATTTACAATAGCCAAGACATGGATCCAACCTAAATGTCCATCAACGGACGACTGGATAAGGAAAATGTGGTATATATACACCACGGAATACTATTCAGCCATAAAAAATCATGATATTCTGCCATTTGCAGCAACATGGATAAGCCTGGAGATAATCATCTGAAGTGAAATAAGCCAGACAGAGAAAGAGAAATATCACATGTCCTCACTCATAACTGGGTGCTAAGAAAGAGAGATAGATAGCAAGATAGAAAGAAAAGACCACAATAATGTGTTGACCTTCCAGAAGAAGAGAATGAACCTAAGACTACTAGAGATGGGGGGAGGGAGGGAGGAAGGTTGGGGAGTGATTGGTCATGTAAGGGGCATAGAAAATAATTATGATTTGTAATAACGAATTTGCTAATAATAATAAAAAAAGAAAATTAACAGAAAGACAGGATAGAAGAGAATATGTGTGAGCACAGAGAAAGGTTTGGATGAATATGCCCCAAATTGTTAAAAGGCTATGGGGGAGAACAGTGTACTGAGAAGGTGATATTAAATTATTTTTAAACAAAACAAAACAAAAAAATAAAATGTTAATATTAAAAAAACCAACAACCTTTGAATTCTTTGGGGTATGTACTTGGAGGTGGAATTGCTAGATCACACAGTTGTTCTATGTTTAGTATTTCTGGGAAAGGCCATACTGGGTTCCACAGTGGCTGCACCGTGTTACATTCCCACTAGCAGCACACGAGGGTTCCAGTTTCTCCACATCCTTGCCAGCACTTTTTTGTGTAGTAGCTGTTGTAACGGGTATGAGGTGATATCTCATTATGGCATCAGTTTGCACTTCCTTAATGATTAGTGATATCGAGCATCTTTTCATGTGCTTGTTGGCCTGTCGGTCACTCTTAAGCAGGGTTGGCAAACTTTTTCTGTGAAGGGTGAGATAGTAAGTATTTTAGGCTTAGTTTGCCGGACAGTCTGTGTCATAAGTACTCAACTCTGCCATTGTAGCAAATGGCAGCCATAGACAACATATAAATGAATGGATGTGGTTGCATATGAATAAAACTTTATTAACAAAGCAAGTGGCAAGCAGGATTTGACCCTGAATTAAATAGTTTGCTGACCCCTGCTCTTAAGGCAAGGAGCACCGAGTTATTAATTCCTGCATTTCATTTCTGTGGGACTGGGGAGCTCTCTGAGGGCAAGGGCTCTATCTTGGTCACTTCTGCATCCCTTCAGATATAGCACGGGCCTGAGCAAGGATATGTATGACAGGACGTGTGCAGGAAAGTGTGGCTCAGTTGGGCTGCAACACCGCAGGAGTGGAGCCCAGTGAAAAATCTCGAAAGGTGGGTTGGGAGAAAGTCGGGACCCGCTGAAGCACTTTCTGCAGAGAGGCAGGATCTAGGTCTGTTTTAGGCAGGACACCCTGGAGGCAGAGAGGCTCGATGGGAGGAAAGGCAAGAGAGGAGGCAGGCAGATCAGCTCGGCTGTCCCAGGACACCTGACCTAGGTGCAGACGGGGCCAGCTGCTGAACTAGGTCGGTGTTGATGGGGAAGGAAGAGGGACTGCAATGAGAGATCACCCCAGTGGACGTGCAGGACTTGGCAATGGGCTTTTAGCTGTCCCCAAGCTGGGAGAGAACTGCCTTCCCTTGGCCATGATTCTCAGATGGCTCGGGCCCCGGGGGAGAGGCCCAGGCCTGGGGCCATGCTCCAGGATGCTGCTGTAAGCGGTGTTGCAAGGCCTCCCGCAGTCAGGGAAGAAACGGGTGGGGATGGCCCCCAGGACTGGTGACCTAATGAGCTCTCAGGGGTACCGAGGCTGTGCTTTCCTGGAGGATGGACTTGATCCGAATGAGTGTGTATGTGTGTAGGGGACGAGATAGGTCTGGGTCAGGAGCATGGGGAAATACGAGGAGTGACCAAAGCACTCGCCGGATGGGGAGGGTGTCTGCTTCCATGACAGCTGCTAGCACTTCCCTGAGCCAGCTGCAGGGACGGAGCCCAGGGCAGCAGGTTTGCCAGCCTCACTCCTCCAGCCCGAGACCCTCCTCTGGCAACCCACCGCAGCGGATCCCCCCTTTCTGTGCCTGGCCTCCTTCCCGCTCACTCCCCATAGGAAATCAGGCACTGAGCTCTGAGTTCTTTCCAGGAGCTTCCATTTAAGGCTTCATTTCTATTCCACTGCTCTGTCATTGCTCAGGTCTTCGTTACCTCCTATCCAGTCCCCCAGGCTCCACATAGGGCAGCTGGAAAGATTTTCTCGGTTCTTGACCTCCATTGCCTAAAAGATAAAGCTCATCACCTTGAGCTTGACATCTGTGCTGACTGACCTCCTATGCTCCCTGTCCCCCACCCCACCAGGTCGGTCACTTCTGTCCTTTGCTGAATCTAAGACACAGCGTTATCTCATGTGGCGCCAAAAAACACAACATGCTGCTAATTAAACTATGCATGACAAGCAACTGAATGGGAGACTGACTGCTTTAGCGTGAAATGCCAAGTAGGGTTTACACCTCTGCCTGTGTATCCATCCCTCCAGGTTCAGCTCAATGTGTCACCGCCCCTGCAGAAGCCACGTTTCCTTCCTCTGAACTTACCCCACATGGTCTTAAGTGTGTGGATCATTTTCTGCCCGGTATCACAGGGGCTTGTGGATGTTTCTTAACTCCATTACTGTATGTGCTCTGCCCTGTCAGCCAAGTGCAGCCTCTCCTCAGTCAGGGGTAACACTCCTATAACACAAACTGCACCGCACGTACAATGCCTTCACTTTATTCTGGTATCCCCAGATGCCTCCCCACCCTGGGACAAATGCGGAGGAAAACAGAACTCTTTAAGATTACATTTCAATTAGTCTGAGAAGAAACCAGGCTCTGTAGGCAGACCATCACCAGAAAACAGAAAAAGCTGAATTATTAAATGTGCTATGCCCTTTGGAAACTGGTCTGGAGGATTCTATGAGCATGAGCTACAAGGAACCAGCCCTTTCTGGATCATGTCATGGAGTTTCTGCCCGAACTCCGAGGAGTTAAAGTAGGCTCTCTCCTCCCTGGCCTACTGCCAACCAGCCTGATGTCACACCTCAGGAGAGGAGCTAAACAGCTTAAACTGAATGTCACTGGGCCAGATCACCTTGCCACTAAAAATGACAACAGGACTCTGTTGATTAAGAGAAATGTTTTATGAAAAACAATGCAGGCAGGCACGCTGACAGTACCCGAGAGTGAACATGGAAGCATGTAAGGAGTTGATCGACCAGAAGTTTTCTCCCTAGGGACTAGGGGGGGGATTACAGTTGTTTTAAGCTTTTTTAAGTTTTTGCTCCAAATTGTGCAGATACAAAATGTACATATGAAGTCTCACACATGTGTTTACATCTTCTGATTTTTTTCTAGGACATTTTTAAGATGTAGTTCCTTGAACAGAGTCTAGTGGCTTCTAATTGCACAGAAATGGTTCCCTGCCTCAACTAGCAAATGGGTTGCCTCTCCCTACTGTGTCCTTGATTATGTACAAGGACACTGTAACAAAATGGTTGACTTCACAGGTGGTCTTTATGCTAAGGAACCCAGAAGAGAGAGAGGGGAGACAGATACACAGAGACAGAAGAACAAAACAGTAAAACATGAAGCTGCCTGCTTTGAGAAATCCAAATCCAATCCTATGAAAGAGGAAGTGTCTGCTGTTTCGCCATCCTCCTGGTCATGGAAGGGGCAGGCTGTGCTCTCATCTCACTAGCAGGAGGACTCACAGCTCAGAAGGAACTCGTTTGAAGGATGTTAGTCCTTTGGTCCACAGGGGAGAGACTTACTGGCTGGGAGATGCATGGAGAGAGCTCAGTCACCGGATGCCTCACTCAACCTTCCGCAGGTGCCGAAAGCTCTGCACGGTCCTCTCCACAGCGTCATCCATGGTGACCAGCGGCCGGTAGCCCATGACCTTTTTGGCTCTCTCGCAGCTGTAGTAGTGAAATGTGCCAGCCAGTGCCACCCGCATCGGTGTGAAAGTGAGCTGGAGCTGGATGACAGGACTGACCACCATTGCTAGCAGAGACAGCAGGAAGGCCAGGTAGTAGGCCAGCCAGTAGGGGATGTGGTACTTGGGGGCCTCATAATTGAGGCCTGTCAGAATGCGGGACAGGAACGTCCAGAAAGGGATGGGTTCATCATTGGTGATGTGAAACGCCTGGCGAGAGAACAAGATGTTAGAAACACCTCCCTGGCTGGACGGGTGAAAGGGTCACGCTCAGAACTCGGAGCTCAGCCACAAGCTGCTCGCTCAGCCTAGAGCTGATATTTTGGGAAACCAGTGGCCACTCCCTGCTTGCCTGCCTGGCCCAGCTCGTTTGCAGAGCTGCTCAAAAGTGAGGGACATGAGTATATGAAGGCCATGCAGACTGCATCCTCACGGGCCTCCTGAACTCCGCAAGTGGGCAGCGGTGAGGTGGAGAGAGGGCAGGCAATGAACGTTTTGTCTACGGGCCAGGACTTGAAGTGAAGCTTCCTTAATGTAATCATTGTCAGAACACTGTTAATCACAGTAAAACCCATCTTCTTATCTTCACATGCAATGAATGGATCATATTACATTTCTCCAACATGCTATGTTTGTTCTAAACCAAAAGCCACACCAACCCTACTCCCAACCGCCCTAAAAGTTACAGGTGGGAAAATAGCAGACGTTTAGGAGAATACAAGAGGACCAAGCCACAAGGGATTCCAAGGCTAGGGGTGAGAAACAAAGAACATGGAGGCCCGGGGAGTGGAAGGAGAGGTCCTGAGTCTCTGTCCAATCCCAGCTCATCGGCTCTGGGCCCCAAGTCACGTGATGCTGCAATGATATCGTACTCCCCCTTAGAAGGCCTCCATCTCCGCACAAGGGGCAATGTGCCAGCAAACCCAATGGCAGGGAGAAGAAGCCGAAGAAAGGCAGTGGTGCAGGCAGGATGTGGCAGGCCAGCGCTGCCCAGCTGGGAGACAGGTGCCTTACCTTCCCACCCAGGGCCGCGTCTTGGGAGAGGTGCTCTGCAGCTAGGATGTGTCCGTGGGCCACATTCTCCACGAAGGTGAAGTCCACCAAGTTCTTCCCATTTCTGCAGGTGCACAAAGAATGGTTCAATCTGTGCTGGCCGTGCTCAGCTGCAAGCCCAGTGGAGTCCCTGCATGTGGGCCCAGCACTTGAGAGACAGCTACCTGCAGAACATTGCTACCTGCCTTGACAATGTCAGGCCCTGGTACAGCTAGACACCTATAATGGTTAAAGATGTGCAGTGGGCCAGGACTCCTGGGGCCCTCAGGGCTAGTAGAGTATTTACAGGTCAACCAATGAAAGCTCAAATCCCTGCCCGCCGCATTCCAGCACGGCCAACACTGGTGTGGTCTGCTTCAGCTCCAATTTGGGCAGCAGCTCTTCAACCCCTTCCCAGGATACACTGGACCAATGCCTTGCTCTGGTCTCACATTTTCCTACCAGTCTCTTTGTCAGGGCGGCAGTGAGGCTGAGTAAGAAACGGGAAGGCAAGGCACAGGGATAAGAGGGGGAAAAGAAAGAAGAGAGAAGAAAGAAATGTGGTCACCTGCAGAGGCGCCACCTGCGCTTTCCTGGAGGAGGAATGTAGCACCCCCACCTGGACACGAGGAGTATTGAGCCGTGGCCCTTCACCCTGGCCCAACTGCTTCTCCTCTGAGCCTGTTTCTTCATTCGGTTTCCAAACAGGGACACAAATATTTTCCCAGACTACCTGAAAGGGTGCACTGGGTTGAAAATACTCTCCCCAAACTCCTATCTTTCTGGAACTTGTGAATGTGACCTTTTTTGGAAATAGGGTCTTTGCAGATGTAATTAGTTAAGATGAGGTCATACTAGAGTAGGGCGGGCCTTCAATCCAACGACGGATGTCTTTGTTAGAAGAGGGAAGTTTGGACACAGAAACCAAGGAAGACAGCCATGTGAAAATGGAGACAGTGATAGGAGTGACGTATCTGCAAACACGAGAAGCTGGAGGAGAGGCCTGAAACACATTCTCCCTTAGACACTCCAGAAGGAAGTCACCGGGTCAGCACCTTGATTTTGAACTTCTGACTTCCAGAACTGTGAGAGAATCAATTTCAGTTGCTTTAAGCACTAAGTTTGTGGTGGTTTCTTATGGCTACCACAAGAAATGGATACAGAGAGCCGTAGAGAAGGTCACCGCTATGGTCTGAATGTTTGTGTCCCCCCAACACTCATACACTGAAACCTAATCCCCAGTGCAAGGAGTATTAGGAGGTGGGGCCTTTGGGAGGTGATTAGATCATGAGGGTAGAGCCCTCATGAATGAGATTAGTGCCCTTTTTAGAGGCCTGAAGGGCTGACCCGTGGCTCACTGGGTGAGCGTGGTGCTGACAACACCAAGTCAAGGGTTAAGATCCCCTTACCGGTCATCTTTTTTAAAAAAGAAAATAATAAAATAAAATAAATTAATTAATTACTTACTTAATAAAAGAGGCCTGAGGAAGCCTGTCTGCCCTTCTGCCATGTGAGGACACATAGCAGGCACCATCCATGAGAAACAGGCTCTCACCAGACACGGAATCTGTGAACGCCTTGATTTTGGACGCCCCAGCCCGCAGGACTGTGAGCAATCCATTTCTGTTGTTTATAAGCTACCCAGTCTCAGGTTTTCTGTTATAGCAGCCTGATCAGACTAAGAGGGCCACATAAGGAAAGAGCTACAGAGCTGCTTGGCTCCTGAGCAAGTGCCCTCTCAGTGTGAGGGACCCTTGTTACAGGGGTGGAGAAGAGGCACTGAGGGCTGACTTACCCAATCATGAACTTCATCTTGCCCTTCCTGGCTGCCTCGATGAGGACGGGGACCAAATAGGGATCCTGTGGGCCGAAAATGCCATGAGGACGGATGGCTGTGGTTAAGAAGTTCCTCTCAGGATCATTGGCACCCAGGACTGCCTAGAAGAGAGCAGGAGAAAGAATGTGTCCACTGCAAACTCATTGGCCTGAGCCAAGACGGCCCCTCGCTGGGGCCAGATAGACGACGCACTCTGCTGGTCGAGATGTCATGGCCCGACAGCCCACATCAGTCACTGATATAATTCCAGGCCACCTCTCTATCCCTATCCTCTCTCCCTGACCCACCACAATCTGAAAACACAGGAGAGGCAGCTGGGGAAGAGCCACTAACATCAAAGAGAAAGGCCTGGTTTGGGTTCAAAGGCTAAAATGCACACGTACAGCCAAGAAAAGATGTGCCTTGGCAGCAGTTTGTGGAAAAGATCCGAGGGTTCCAGTTGACAACTTAGCCGTGAGCCTCCGGTGAGGCTGCTGCCACCAGAGGGGCTCCTGACTTAAGCCACACGTGCTGACTGCACGTTTCCACCAGGCCTGGGCTGTTCCTGTCAATTCTGAGAACCACCTCCTAGGCAAGAACTCTGATAAATCCAAGTGGGCCCAGAAGAATTGTCTGAGAAGGTGAAGGGGCTGAAGGCCATGTCGTGTGAGAAACAGGGCAGCAGCTGGGGAGCGAGAGAAACGAGCTGATACTTGGAAAGGCCACAGAGCAGTGGCAGGTACTAAGCAAGGGCTCCAGAAGCGGCAGCTGCTCCTCCCGTTACCACTGTCGGGCAGAGAGAAGAGATATCCTCTGTGTGGCTTAATGGACAAACTAGAACTGAAGAGCTTTAAGTATACAGAAACAGGTTTTGTTTCAAAAGTAACAAAACTTCCTGAAAAATCTGTGACATCGTTGGTAAAAATGGAGATCACAAAGGTACCTACCCTGATGGGGCTTATTTGCTGATTCAACGAGATGACTCATGTCAGTTGGTTCAGTAAATGCACATACACTTTTTAAGTATAATTACCGTTGTTATCATGTCACCTACGACTTCTACCCTATGGTGGCAACATGCTTGTATGTGTTTTGGTCCCAGCAATTTTGAGCTATTTGCTGATTGAGTTTATAATGATCAGAGCTGTTCAACAATGGAGAAGCTGCCTCTTCAACAGATTCCCAGAGCTGCCCCTTGTCTTCCACCAGCCTCTGGTCCCTGTGGCAATGGGGGAAATGACTAAATAAGTCTTCCAATGACCTCTATGAAGGCTCATCTCTATTATTAAAGGGAAGAGCTGAAGGGGTCCTAGATCAACACCACATTTGGTTTATGAGTAAGGTTTTAAAGCCAACAGCAGGTATTCATTGCCTGAAAGGAGGCTCCAGATGAGTTTCTGCTGGAGTCATTTACAGGCCTTGCTTATTTCCAGTTGAGGACCCAAAAGTCAATGTGTACAAGATACAGATGGTCTGGGCCAAGGCTGCCATTTGAAGCTCCTGAGCCTACATGTGCTCAAGCCCTGGGTGGGAGTCCCAAGCACCTTGGAGGAGTGTGCGCAAGTCTCTGGGATAACTGAAGTTCTTACAGTCAGGAGGCAGCTGGCTCTTGGGCAGCACAGGGGGCCTCATGCCAGTCCAGTGCTGAGCTCCAGTTCAGTAAGTACTGGCTTTGAAAGAAAACCTCAGCAGGTGCGATGCACTGCAAACACCTGGGCGAGGTAAGCTCTCAGCTACCCTACCCAAGCGAGCTGTCTGGAGCTCAGGAGTACCCCAGTCTGCAGCTCAGGAGGGCCTCAGGGTGACATCCTCGACCTGGATCTGGCAGCTGTCAGGATCTCCAGAGCTCCAGCAGCCACACTAAAATCAGGTGGCACTTGATGAAGCTGGTTGGCCAAGTGGAAAAGTACTTTCCCTTGAAATAAAGCCAGATCTTTCCATTGTTTATTTAAAAAATAAGGGCGGTGAGCAAGAGTGCCACAAGGAAGGTGTGTGCAGCTGAAAAGCCACTCCTCGTGCATTCAGCCCAAGTCATGCCTGCATGCCTGGGATCATTGTGAATTGCTCCTGACTTCTGATTCCCACAGCAAGCGAGGAAGCTCGTGTAGTGTCAGCTGAGCGCAGGCTCTGGAGATCAACTGCCTGGGTTTGGCCACCTGTAGCTGCACGGCCTCAGGAAGGTTCTGAATCTCGCTGCGCATCAGTGTCCTCATCTGTAATCTGGTGACAGTAACAGTTCCCACTTATGGGATCATTGTGAAGTTTTTTTTTTTAAATTTTTTATTTTATTTTTTTGGTAGCTGGCTGGTACAGGGATCGAACCCTGGACCTTGGTGTTAATCAGCACCACACTCTAACCAACTTGCTGTGAAGTTTAAACGAGGCCGTTCTTGGAAAATACTCTGAACAGTGCCTTGCCACATGAAGCTATTCTGTTATGTTTAAAATTTAATTTCACCCACAAATTTTACTTCCCAGGTTAGGTAGTTAGGCCTCAGAATACTAGCTTCATATGTTCATAGATATTTTTCTGAAGCATCTAAACCCTCCAGATGCCCACTCGCTCAGCCAGTTCTAAGGTACGCACTCTCTCCTGCAAGATCTTAGTCTCAGTGTAGTAGTCAATGGGCTTCACGGCATAAGGGAGGTCTTCGGTTCCATTCTTGATGTCGATGCCCTCAAAGATGACACTGGCACTGCTCGTTAAAATGAATTTCTGGCAGAGGAAGATTAAAAAAAAAAAACACAAGTCAGGAATTATTGTTATTCAAACAGCCCAATGGTCATGTGTGACAGAGAATCAAATGGCCCCTCTTCAGTACCCTTGCATGTGAGGCGCTGTACAAGTTCTTTGGTACAAGGCCTTCATTTTTCATGCCTTCTCAAAATACTCCAAAGATCACCATCTTTTGCAACAATGTGGATTCTGCACACATTATGGCATTATATTCTAAAACAGTAGATCTCACATTTTTTTCTATCACATCACACCTGAGACATAGAACAGATTTCCATTATTCTTGGTATCTTAACACAGGAGTGATTCTCCATGGGGGAAGGATAGCTCACGTCTAGGGAGATGTCTGTTTGAAAAAGATCACTGGTTATTCTGCACCAACCTTGCCATGTGAACACACGCATGCACACGCACACAGCCATGTAAGAAACACTATGCTGAAGGGAGATGCTCTCTTAGAGGATCCCCAGCTTCCAGCCTTCTGGTTAAGAGCAGCTCATCCGATGCTGGACACCATCAGCCTGAATCACATCTTTACCACTGTTATTCAACATTGTACTGGGAGTCCTAGCCAGAGTGGTAAAATAAATCAAACAAAAATTTATAATGATTGGAAAAGAAGCTGAACTGCCATCATTTGTGGAAGACAGAGATGTCTACACAGAACACACAGGTGAATATACAGAAAATATTAGAGTCAGAGTTCAGCAAAGTTGCTGAATTCAAAATCAATATACAGAATTTAACTGTATTCTTATACATTAGCAATAACTGAAAATATAAAATTATTAAATAACGAAAAATGAGGTGCAAAACCTTCATGAAGTAAAGTAGAAAACTCTATTGAAAGGCATTAAAAAGATAGATAGAGAGATATCCATATTTATGGACAGGAAGGCTCAATATTGGAAAGATGTTAATTCTCTCAGAAACTACGTACAGGCTTAATGCAATCACAGTAACAATCTCAAAAGACTTTACCTAGGAGCTCGACAAGCTGATCCTAGAATGTACGTGGAAGACCAAACGGCTCAGAATAGCCAAGTGCATTTTGAAGAAGTTGGTGGGGGTGACCTGTCCTGCCAGCTACTGAGACTTGTACCTCAGTGAAGACAGCACAAAGAAGCCAGTGGAGCAGAGAGAGCCAGGAATAGGCCCCTGGATGGAACCCCCCAGACGTGCTGCAGGTGGTGCTGAACAGTGGGGAAGGGGTGGACCACACAAGAAATGGTGCCGGACAGGTTATCTGTATGGAAAACAAATGAGATCTCTCCCTCGCGCCTGCCGGAGTTACAGACTTACGGTGGTAACACTTCCAACCTTTAAGGAAAAAACACACTTAGCAATCTTTTGATCTTGGTGTTGGAAAACATTCCTTAAATGTAACAGGGAAAATCATTTTCTGCACCTTACCCAGTTAGCATTCTGCCCCCTCACTGAATGAACTAGAGCTACATATAGCAAGATGGATAAAGCTAAAAAGCTTAACACTGGGGAGAAAAGCAAGTTGCAGGAGGATATGTTCAATATGATACCATTTTTATAAAGTTTTATGACATGCAACCAACACCTTATATTGGCTGCACATGGAGCAAGAAGAAACGGTAAAGCCCCAGTCAGCACAGTGTCCGCTGCAGGTCTGGGAGGGCAGTGGCGCCGAGGATGGGCGCCGAGGATGGGCACCCGGGGCGCTGCAACCCCACCGGCCCTACTGTTTCGTGAGCACAGGCCCGAGTGAGTGCGTGCTGCATTGTTCTCCCACCTTTTTTTTTTTTTTTTTTTTTTTTTTTTTTTTTTCCT